AATGACAAATTTTCAGTATCATCCCATCTACAATGACAAATGTTGCGTATGGTCCCATCTACAATGACAAATGTTGCGTATGGTCCCATCTACAATGACGAATGTTGCGTATGGTCCTGTTTACAATGACAAATGTTGCGTATTGTCTCATCTACAATGACAAATGTTGCATATCGTCCCATTTTACAATGACAAATTTTCCGTATCGTCTCATGTACAATGACAAATGTCTCATATGGTCCTGTCTACAATGACAAAATTTCTGTATCATCCCATCTCCAATGACAAATGTCGCGTATGGTCCCATCTACAATGACAAATGTCGCGTATGGTCCCATCTACAATGACAAATGTCGCGTATGGTCCCATCTACAATGACAAATGTCGCGTATGCTCCTGTGTTCAATTACAAATGTTGCGTATGGTCCCCAGCCATTGTGAACGAGTACCTCCAGATGGCCACGGACAAGCAGCCTACGGCGCGGATAAAGGCGCTGTTTGAGAAGAAGAACCAGAAGTCGGCCCAGAACATAATCCAGCTCCAGCGCAAGCTTGAGGCGCACCAGGCCAGGCTGACGGAGGTGGAGACGCATGGCTACACGGGCCACAAGCAGGCCAAGGAGGTGCTGCGAGACGTGGGACAGGGTTTGAAGTATGTGTCTGTGTGCCGTGTGTCGTTGTGTGTGTGTGTGTCGTTGTGTGTGTGGGTTTGTGTGGGATGGGCTTTAAAGTATAGTTTTTGTATCATTGTGTGTGTGGGTTTGTGTGGGGCGGGCTTTGAAGTATGTGTGTGTCATTGTGTGTGTGGGACAGGGTTTGAAGTATGTGTGTGTGTCATTGTGTGTGGGTTTGTGTGGGACAGGCCTTGAAATATGTGCGTGGGTTTGTGTGGAATAGGGTTTGAAGTATTTATTCATATAATGTGTATATACATATATGTGTGTAAACATATGATATAATATGTTTTAAAAAATACATATTATATATATATACTGATGTGTTAAATGTATGACAGCTTCGTGTAAGACATGGTCGTTGGCCAGTTAATAAAGTGATGTATGATGGGAGTCATACACTGAACTGTGGCTGTGTATTACTACAGCCGTGTGAGATTGTGTCATTTTATCGTCAGCCTCTCTCTTTTTTTACTGTTCGTTTTAATATTTAGTCATGTCCAATTTCTTTCTTTGGCACTCATATGACCTTATGCAGTTGCGAGCGCCGTAAAACCTCTACTAAAACTTTAAAAATTTCTTTCTGGCTGTGGATCCAGAAGAAATAAATGCAGGAGCGTTCACCCCTGTGCCCCCCCCCCCCCCCCAAACATCAGCTGTCTTCTAGTGTACACGTATGATATTTGTCTTTTTTGTATTTTCTCTTTCTTCCTCACTTCTTTCTACCATCTCCTTATAATAGTTATTGTCTCAAGCCACTGGGCAAAACAATCTGCCTTTACCTTTGAGAAGACTTGTAAGTGTGTAGTAAGGTTTTATACAAAAACAAACGGGAATGTCTCATTACTTACAGATTATATTTCGCTTCCTTAGTATCACAAAACCTTTTTAAGAATGTAGTGTGGTCTATTTTAATGAATCATTTCCCAAATGCAGTAAGTTACAGTTTAGCAAAATATAAGTGGTGATTTTTTATTAGTTATTTAAGGGGGGTTTTTTACTTTCTGTGTCTTTTCTTTTTCCTACTAGGCGAGATTGCTGTGTTCTTTGTTCCCCATAGTTCTCGCAACATCAAACATTTCTTTGTGTACAGTGTCTGTTCTTGGGACTCAAGTGTTTTACTTTCAGGAGAGCTTCAGGTGTTGAGTAAGGCATTAAACGTGTACAACAGCGGAATAGAATGTGTCGTGATGTACCGGAATTGGGCGCTCGTAAATTTTTTTGTCATATTATGGAGGTTTTTTAAAATAGTTTTTTGTTGTTGCTAGTCTTCAGTTTGCTTGTCATTACTTTGGTTTCGCTTGCATTTTAGTTTCTGATGATGAGATCTGATGAGATTTGTATCTCAGTTCCTGCTGTCATCTTGGCCCTTGTTCTTCGCTTCCTGTTTTTGTTTTTTTCAGTTTTGTTTTGATCATGCTCTCTTCAGCCGTCTGTGGTATAAAAGATAGTCTTTTTACCCTTGACTGTGGAAGAATTAGGTTTGATTTTCCGGTGCAAAGTTTTTATTTTTATATCAAGTATCTCTGCCTGTCTGCTGAGATGTTGTATCCTGCTCAGCCCAGCTTGGCTTGGACAGGCAAAGTGGAAGCGACCTACGTCCTAAATAAATTGGGAATTATGTGAATGGGTCGTAAAACATCGACAGTTACAGTTCACTCTCTGTTCCTGTGTCTTTCTCTGCGCTCCATGTTCCCGCAATCTGAAATAGTCGCTCTTTTAGTTTCCAAGGCATAGTCTTCATCCTTGTCATAAAATGCCTCTCGTCACTATAGAATTAGGCTCTCATCAATTGTCAGGTACGTAAAGTTATTAGTATAATAGTCTTAAAGCTCGTTCATTTTAATTTTTTTTAAATACCCATCTTTCTTGAATACAAGTCGAGATGTTTCTGATTGAAGGAAGTGGAGTTCGCCTTTTGTTAGAAGTATTCCTAGAGAGAAAATTGTTGCTTAAGTTTTTTTTGACTGCTGAAGCTTAGGTGTCCTTTGAAACTGCAAATTTACATATTGTACTGCCTTTGGCCAATGATTTTTTAGTAAAATCAATAAAAGGTGTTGAGCAGCCCTTGAAAAAGAAAAAAAAAAGACCCCGATACGAATTGCCCAATGAATAGAAGAATGTCAGTTTCTTCGATTTCGTTATTTTGACGAGTGCCTGATTTCACCATCATGAAACTCAATTGTCGAACCATTATTGGAGGAAAGCGATGATTGCTCGATGACTACTGACACGATGCAGTTAATTCCTGGCAGATTCTGGGTTGTTCTTTCGAAGATGTTCTGCTGTCTTCATCTTGAAATTTTCACCCACCTGGTTTTTCCTGTACTGACACGGCTTTCTCTTTGTTTTAGCCCGCCTGAATGTCGGATGATTCTTTTACCGCATGAGTAGGCTTAGACGGCCCGAGGGCTTCTTCTACATTTTTGTTTTTTCATGTTATTATTTCATTATTTCACGTATGGAGTGTTCATGTCTTGCTGAACGGCTTGAAGGATTTTTTACGCTGTGGATTCTGGATTTTTAAAAATCTTTAGTGATCACGCTTTTCTTAGTTTGAGCTAGTTTTGCCTTCTAATATTTTTGTTATGTCCAGGCATTATGTTTTATTTCGTTTGGTTTTTATTATTATTTTTAAAAAATGAATGCTCATTACACAAAGGCAAAAATTACCGCAGTTTGGTCCTGCAATATATATTTCTCTTTATACACATGTGGTCATGGAAGTATGTCTGTGCATGTTTGCAGGAAGTGGAAGGGAGTCCGTGGCGCGACCCAGTGAGTTCCTTCCCTTGGCCACTAGCGCTGACTTTGGGGGTTTTTTTCCTGTTTATTTTTATTTGGGGTCTCTGACCATTCGCTAGTGTGGCATTTGTAAAATTGGCTATATTAACCCCACTCACTCAATCTCTCCTCTTCTTGTTTTAGTTATTATGATTACAATTATTGTATATATTTTTATTGTTATCATTATTATCAGCTTCATAATGTTATTTTTATTAATATTGTTATTATCATTATTATTATTATTTATTTTATTATTATTATTATTATTATTTATTTTATTATTATTACTATTATTAATATAATTACAATCATGACTTTGGTTTTTAGAACTATTTTTGACAGTGGGGGAAAGTCTCCCGGTTATAATTTGCCTTTTCTAACATACATAGTTTTGGGTGACAAGGAATTTTTATTCGTGGAATGAAAATGTGAAGGAAATTTTTTCTCATATTCCATCAAACTATAATCTAATCTCAGTTGAGGGCAGCTGCGCAATTTGTGTTTCTGTTTTAGTACAAAAACATTATTTACAAATTTTCCAAATAATATCCTCCTTTTATATATATTTCCGAACAAAGGGATTTTGGTTTGTTGTTTGCTGGTGTGTATGCCACGGGGCAGAGCTGAGAACATGAGTTGTTTCTGAGATATTGATTTTAAAACATGCCGTGGAGTCGGCTCCAAATGAGATTTGTGGGACCCTTGGATTTTCTTCGGTTTAGTCACATTTTCAGTTTAGAGAAATTGCTCAAATACGACAAGGAAATAAAAATTGAGAGTTTTGATTTTTTTCTGAGAACACCGCTGTTTTCAAATGAGCCGTCTCGGTTTTCGGGGGTTCTACAATAGTTTAGCTAGCTGCATTCTGAAAAACTTGAAGCAATATTCACACAAAGTATTTCTTCTACCTGAATTTTTTTTTTTGGATGTTATTTTCTTAATTGAGAAAAAAAAAACGTTTCTAAGCTTATCAACAATGATGTGAGGATTGTTCACCCTGCTCATTGGTCCAGGTTTCCCTTTTATAATTTCATCTCCCTCTGGCCCTCCCCCCCGCCAACACTCATCCTCTCCTCAAAGCCAATTCTTTTTATTCTAACAGTTCCCAATATTTTTTTTTCTTTTTTCAGTTAAGATTTTTAATCTTCTTTTTCTGGGAAGACAGAAAGATCTTACAGATAGTCTCCGTTAGATGTGGGGGGGGGAGGAGAAGTGATGGCCCCTCGTCCTTTGATTTTTGGGGTCTGGGAGTATTTGGTATGTTTTATTTTGTTGTTATTTTTTCCCCCCCAATTTATTATTTTTTCTTTTTTAAGCCAGCTGTTTGTGTGGATTTTTCAAAAGCATTTGAGTCGACATTTCTTTCCTAACTGACGACACATGCTTTGTAGAGAGGTTTCCTCCCCCGCACATTTAACACATTTGGTTTTCCTACTTAATGCTAAAAAATGTATCTGGTGTGTGCCAGCCGTATTTCACAGAGACAAGAGACAGACGGATCTTTTAGAACTCGCAGTTTTTATCCTCATATAATTTGTAATGTATTATGATTTATACTATAATCCTCATATATATGTAAAACACAGCCACACGTTATTTTTTCCCCCACTTCCTGCCAGGAAAGTGTCATTTTCAATACAATAAAATGTCGAGAGCGAAAAGAGATTAGAGATTTTTTAGCACTGACAGAAGTCTAATTTCCCTGCCGCTGTTTGTATCTTTTGCTGCCAACAAGGCTTAGCCGTGATTGAAAATGTAAAAACAGAAATTATGCTCCCTCTTTGGCTCCCCTTAAAGCTATTATCGCCTAAGTGGTGACTGAGCCGTGATTGAAAATGTAAAAACAGAAATTATGCTCCCTCTTTGGCTCCCCTTAAAGCTATTATCGCCTAAGTGGTGACTGAGCCGTGATTGAAAATGTAAAAACAGAAATTATGCTCCCTCTTTGGCTCCCCTTAAAGCTATTATCGCCTAAGTGGTGACTGAGCCGTGATTGAAAATGTAAAAACAGAAATTATGCTCCCTCTTTGGCTCCCCTTAGAGCTATTATCGCCTAAGTGGTGACTGACAGATCATGCAGTAGCAGTAGTATGTCATTTTGCACGCGCCTTATCTTTTGCTTGTCAGATCTGTTTTCCATCTGTTGTGAATTGTAATTAACTTCCTCCAGGCATCAACTTACATTACGATC